AATACCAGCCTCTCTCTCTCGTGAGAGAGATAGCCTCATTACTTAAGGTGTTGCTACTGTGAGTCAATAGAAGGTCGTATTTTTACGCCCAGCCCGGATTTGAAATGCGAGTTCTCCCTAACTAGAGGACCTAGTCTGGGTGGTTAGGAAAAGAGGTGGATTCATACGTTTCCAAGAGTATTTCTGTGAATGTGAAAGCAAAATATTCGGATGGAATTTGAACTCAGTTCGTTAGTCATTACACTGTCCACACACCCATTGTTTACAAACATATAAGGCAAAAATTTTGGCAACAATAAAAATAATTGTTTCCATAATATTTATAAAATAATAAATATTGCATTGTGGTTACTGTACATATTTTGACAATTTTGTAAATTTTTATAAATTTTTTAATAAAAAGATTTATTACTTTATAAAATGGTATATAATAAATCTTTACAAAAGGTAAATAATAAATATCGCATTGTACTTGATTCATATATTTTTATAATCTTGTAAATATGTGGAAACTATTCTCTGAATAAGTCTAAATCCATGTTTAATCTTATATGAGAATCTATTTAGCAAATGTATTTTAACTCTTCTTTCGCTGAAGACGCTAAATATATGTTTAAATAGATTTTTAATGTTACATCATTTCATATCATAAACGTTATCAATGAGTTGCTATCAATGTTTTTTTTTTTAAACAGTGAAATTAATAATAACTGGTTTAGATCGAAAAGTCCTACTAAAAAAAAGTTTTGTCTCCCGAAAATATCGAAACATTGTCCCTTTTTTATCAGATAAACCATTTCTATAGCCGAAGCGTGGCGCTATGGTATCTCGTCGTCAAATTGGTAACGACTTGCTTGTGCAAAACCAGCTAGAGTTTCGGAAGAATTGCTAACAGAGAAATGGTGCATATTGTGCCAGGAATTCTCCCAGCACATTACTCTTCCCCATGTTTTCTTCGTACTGAGTTTACCCTTTTTAGAATAATATTGTAACCTAAGCCTCCCTGGAAAGACATGATTTGAATTCTGTACCATTTTTTTTTTCAATGATGGGAAGCCAGTTTCTCGTTCTATATAACTGCTGGAAGAAACCTTTGTATACCCGTTAAGATTGCAATTCAATCTCACTTCGTTTTTGACCAGAAAACATATGAAGACTGAGACAATATTTCAAAAGACGCGTTAAAGAATTGCAGAGGCAATTCCTTGAGAATATTAATAAGTAGGGTGATCAAAATAAAAATATATTGAAAAAAAAAAATAATGAACGTACTGCAAAAAAAATATATATATATATGGTTTCGAAAATTCAAGTCGGGAGATTTGTCTCTCCATGATGATCCACGCAGTGGACGATCACAGGTCTTGAATGACGGAGTCCTGAAGGCGGCCATTGAAGAGGACAGTAGTCTAACGTGTGGTGAACTTGCAAGACAGTTCAACGTTTCCGATGAAACAGTTAGACTTCACCTGCACCCCCTAGGTAAGACAATCAAACTGAGCTAGTGGGTCCCGCAAACGCTGTTGGAGGTCCACAAGGGACAACGAGTGGCAGCCTGCGTATCGCTGCTTTCTCGCCACCGTACCGCATCCTTATTCAATCGAGTGCTTACCAGTGATGAAAAGTGGGTTCTGTACGAAACTCCCAAGCATTTAAGACATTGGTTGTCTCCTCAGGATGCTGTCCCTCACACCGCAAGACCGCCTATGCACACACGCAAGATTATGCTTTGTGTCTGGTGGACAGGTCGTCAAGTGGTTTAATATGAGCTGCTACCAACGGGTCAAACGGTCACTGGAGACCTATACTCGCAGCAATTGAAACGCGTGCAACAGGCATTGCGCCAGAAGAAGCCAGCACTGGTGAATCGCAAAGGTGTGGTTTTCCTCCATGACAACGCCAGTCCGCATGTCGCGCGATTGGTCAGGGATACCGTACAGCAACTTGGGTGGGAGACTTTGTGCCATCCACCTTATTCACCTGACCTTGCGCCATCCGATTACCACCACTGCCTGGATAATCATCTTCATGGGAAATCCTTCACCAATGAAGCAGACTTACGCAAAGCTCTCACGGACTTCTTTGCGTCAAAACCCCTCACCCCTCGAGTTCTACCGTAAGGGCATTGAACAGCTGGAGACACATTGGCAGAAGATGCTGGAGGCCCGATGGTGATTACTTCGAAGACTAAATATCAGTTGCATATACTGTGAAGCGTTTTCTTTTTTTACTTTAAAAACGGACAGAACTTTTTTGCTTACATTGTATATATATATATATATACGGAAAATAAAGTATAATATATATTTTTAAAAATCCACGTTATAACCAAAAGCCTTTGCGGCCTCTCTTTTCTCTTTAATGTATACACTTTTCTCTCCTTGGAATAATTATAATCCCTCACTTACACACACACTTACACACACACATGTATATATATGCTTTGTTTTTTTAATTATTTTAACAAGCAGTAGGTAGGGGTATGTCAAATTAACGTACTGTTGGAGAGACAAATACAGATAGCATATTTTTTAATGCCATGTTTATTCAGGACATTGACGATCATGACTCCCCACAATTGCTAGGTCTACTACTAAAAAAAATCTGTTCACTGTGCCAGATAACTTTTCTTGTGAGAAGCCATCTTGCATATTTATAAATCTATAATTCGTTTGTGTATTGAATATTGCTGCCATATCTGCTCTGGTACCTCACTATCTCGAGATTCTTGACAAAATCCAAAGAAGGTTATTTACTGTAATCGATCCTGACCAGGCATCTTGACTTCAGTCACTTTTTCACCGAAGTGACGTGGTTTTCCTCTGTCTATTATATAAATATTTTCGTGGCAATTTTTCTGGTGAGTTTTCCTACTTGATGCCTCGACTACATGTATCTAAGCGTGCTACTAGATTGATAACTAGGTCTCACCGTTTAACTAGCTAGATGCAAACGTATGTTCTAGTTCCTAAGAGAATGAAACGCGTCGGCTAAAATTAGTTTTCCTTTTACCTTTATTCATATATATACACACACACAAATTTATCAGACTTCATTAGAAACATACTGGTAGAAAACGCAAAGATATTAACTGCATCCACCTGCAAAAAAAGACTAAAAATAATGGAAGCTTTAATAATAAAAACGAAAAAGCCAACTCTTAACAATATTAACTACGAACAAAGTCACAATGTGCTAACCGTATTCGGAAATTAAAAACATCCCTACCACACACTAAGACATACACAGAACGTACACACTCAATTAAGCTGAAAAATCGAATCATCTCTGATAATGGTATAGCCGAAAGCGCTCGGAAATATAAAACATTTGGACAGTTTGCACACACTCTTTGTTCAGAAAAGAAAGTTCTTGTTCGAACACAAGAAAAATTAAATAAAAAGCTTAAACGTAGTACTGTGTCTGTCGTTTTTAATGAAACATGCATAAAGGAAGGATTGCCTAAATATACAAATATATATATATATATATATATATATATATATATATATATATGAGAGAGAGAGAGACTACTCCATCATAATATCATGCAGTAGTATCAGTGACCAAACGGTTCTCCGAAGCGTCTGAATATCGCTTATTACGCGAAATTTATAGTCATTATTTATAGTGTCATTAGATATTTTGCGATTATAATCCTGCTCAAAACTAGGTGTTTCTTTTGTATCAGATTTCTTTATCTTATTTCTTTATTTGTTGAGTACTTGGTGTCCTTTCAAGTTAAGTTTAAATTCTTGTGTGTTTTATTATTATTTTTCCTAAGGCATACTTTGCCCGGAGTGCTTTGATTTTATGGGTTTCTTTGGTGATTTTGGTATCTCAGTCAAGGTGCGTTATGGTAAATAGACCATTGCTTGTCTGTGAAGCTCTCCGTAACTGAGTGGCGAAAGGCAGGTCGGGTAGAAAGGTGATTCATCATACAAAGTGAAACGAAGGTTCGAATTTTACCGCAGGTCGCATTCTATTTGTCAAGTTCTCTTGAATGTGCAGGCCAGTAAATGTAGTATCAGTTTATAAACGGATATCCACTAAAAGTAACGTCTGAAGTAATATATATATATATATATATATATATATATATATATATATATATATACGCGAAAGCTGCCGAACAAGCAAGCAGCTCGTTCGAGCATAAATACTTGTATTGTGTTAGATTTTGTGAAGTAGGGCCATATATGTAGCTTCATCCACACGTAAAATATAATGGAAGTCATAATGATAAAAAAGGAAAAGCCTGCACTCAATAACATTAGCTACGAACACAGCCATAATGAGCTGACCATGTTTGGAAAATAAAATATTCCTATAACTTCAGACACACACATTCCGTTAAAAAAAAATCGCCCTTGATAATGGCTAAAAGAAAACGCTCGGATATGCAGAATTGTTGGACAGATTTTACACACTTTCCACTTTTACGAACACAATGAAAATTAAATAAAAAGCTTAATCGGAGTACCTTGTCAGTCATCTTTAACGAAACATGTATAAAAGAAGGATTGCTGCCCAAAATACACAATTATCATATATCAATTGATTAATTATGCGTATTGATAAAGAAAAGGATAATGTTTGAAAAATCAGCAGTCTTCTGTAAAATAGATGCTTCTTTATGAATATATTACAGACATATTTATGTAGATATATTGAATATGATACAAAGTCCCAAGTACTTTGAATTTTAAAAGTTTTGCGTCGTCGTTTAAAGAATAAATATTCAAAGAAATGAAATAGAAACTTGGCCATTTTAAGATTTAGTGAAGATTTATTGACACTTCAAGTTATCTCCCTTGATAAAAAGCTGGAAATTAAAAGAAATAATTGATTCACTTAAAGCGCAATCGTGATCATCAACAGTGGGAGAGCAACAGTGTATATGACTAGCCATTAAATCTATGAAATAGTAAACAGACGAAAATAGTCAAAATGACTGAGAGAGGTTATGTGCTGTCTACTGTTTTATCGTAAAATCAATGATGTATCTCGTCAATTTTGCAAAATTACAGGCCAAATTCATTTCGTGGAACTGTTTGGATACCCTACACAAATATAAAACCCCGATAAGTGGGTCCGCTTTCTTGTATCCTGTGCTAGTTTTATGTTTCTTGTTTGATTTTAGAGTTTGTATTATTTAATTATCTGCTTATATAAAAATTCACCACACAGTGTAACAGTGATGTAACAGAAATGAATCCACTAAATTCTCTGTTTGCTTTTAATTTTAGCTCATGTTTATTGGCTTTTATAGATTTTTCGTTTAGGAAGAGAGGAACTTAGTTACAACTTGGGAATAAAAAGAATAATTCATACTTGTAAAATGTCGATTGATTATAATGATGGTATTTTAAATGTTTTGATTTCAGATTGAAAAATCTTCTTTTGAGTGCAGAATTTAAATGATGCAATAAAAAGAGACACGTTTATTTTTTTAAAAAAGAGAATAATAAACAATGAAAAATAATTACAATCACTATAAATGATAATTCGATAAAAGGAAAATATATATCGCTATATATAAAAGGCAGGATGTGTGTGTGTGTGTGTGTGTGTGTGTGTGTGTGTGTGTGTGTGTGTGTGTGTGTGTGTGTGTGTGTGTAACGAATGCACGGCCGCAATTTTCGACGGATTTGCTCCAAAATTTACATGCACATGCACCAAGTTAGTGGGAAGACCAAGACCGACCTTGCATTTCCCAACTCCCATCGATAGTGGAAATATTCGATTTTTCATGCTTCTACGGTAGTTTTCATGTAGTTTGCGGCCATTTTCTACTGGCCAGAGTGAGAGCCTATAGCTGACTGCCACGAATGGGCAGGAAGATTCTATTGGCCAGCGTGAGAGCCAACAGCTGACTGACACGAATGTTAACTAGCATGCTAGCATGCAAAAAAAAAAAATCGATAGCTGCATTCGTCACAAGTGGGAAAAATTTAAATCTGCATTGCACTTTTTAATCCAATTGGCTCATTCGCTTGCTTAAACTCAACGTTGATTCTGATTCCGCAGAACTGGGTTGGGTGAAAAAAAGTATTTGTTGTTAACATTCTTTTTTCATTCGGTTTTTCCAGTTACGAGTCCTTTTTTAAAAGCTGATCGTTTTGTGTTCATTTTGTTTAGTTTTTTTTCGTAACAGATTTAATGTTTAGTATAGAGCTTAGAAAAAAATTCACAGTGTGAGATAGGCAAGAAGTAAGGCATGTAGCAACATCAGCACGGCAAAGAGCACTCCTTTAAAGGCAAGGAAGGGCAAAAATATTTTAAGTCAAGCGATAGCGATTGCTGTATGAGTCGTACGATTTTTGAATCAAGCACGGGCAACGCCAGGCTATGCTGCTAGTTCAAACTAAATGTACTTGACACCATTTTCATTAAACCTCGTTTATGCAAACAAAAAGAATGAGTGCTGGTTGACTGATTTGTTTTTTACGGTTTATCAACACTTTGCAGGTTAATTACAACCAGAAAATATTTTTAGATTGTATAAATCTTTTGGAGATAATACTGATACAAGTCCTACTAATTAGCCCATATTGGAGAAGAAGAGGTGAGTCCATACATTTCTCAAGGATATCAGCGCGTAAGTGAATATAACGAATCCTGCTGGAAATAGAACTCGGCTCTCGGATTTTCAACTCCCAGCCGTTATCCATTATACAACCCGCACATTCATGCTTACAGCACCTGGTACTCACCAGACAATTTTTCTCAATTGAATGCATTTTGCACGTTTTTAAATCTACCATTCGTCCGTGCATTGAATATTAATACCATATCTATTTTCGTACTCTTGCTATATATCTCGAAATTCCTGACAAAATCCAAAGAAGGGTCTGTAATGTAATCGATCCTGACCTGGCATCTCGACTTGAGTTACGTGTCTCTGTTTTTCTATAAATATTTTCATGGGAATTGTTTTGATGAGACTTTCTTCTTGATGCCTCGTCTCCATGAAGTTAAGTGTACTGCTAGATTGGCAATTAGGTCTCACTGTTTTACTGCTGAACTACCTAGCTGCTATCGTAGGTTCTGTTGTAATAGTTTCTTTGTTCGCACTTTTGGCCTGTTCTGATTTCTTGCCACAAGCTCACCTACAGTCATTAAAACTTTAAATGCAATGCCAAACGCCATCTTCTACCTTCCTGAAACCAGTTCTTTCTCCTCAGTAAATTCTTCTCTTTCTTTTTTCTTCTCAGTACTTCCTTGTGTCTTAGTGGCATTACTGTCTTGCTTGGGGTGAAATGATAAAAAAGCGGTCACCCATCTAGATGCCTATCTGACTCAACATTGCTTAACTTTGGTGATCGTACGAAAAAGTATAAAATATAAGCATTTATATGTTAGTTAATATATTATTAATATGTGTGTGTTTTATATTTTCTCCTTTTTAGTTGTGGTGCACAGGTACCTTTTATTTGATCGACTTCTGATATGACAAGACTGAGAACAGAGCAGCTTTTTACTTACATTATTTACATTATTCGGACTGTTATCCTCATCTTCATTGCCTTAGTCACAAAGTTTCGGCCGTTGTACGCTCCGGCCTTCTTCAGGTGATTGGAATTTCGATCGAACCCTTTATTTCGTCCACTGGGGTAGATTCTTCTAGTTCCACGTGTCATGCCTCTTACGGATGCCTCAGTTATTTCCCACTGCTGTAGCCTGGTATTGAACTCACAACTCTTTGGGTCTAGTCACTGGATCTAACCAACTCCTTTATCCACTGCAATCTACCCCCGCCGAAACGTCGTGAATCTATAATTCTCAAAATGGATGTGTTTCCACAGTTTTCATCCGATTTCGATGATTTTTTTATTTGATAGATAATTAATAATTAATAAGATAATTAATTCTTTAGTGCCGGTTTTGAGCCCAAACTGGCTTGAAAAAATTACAACTTTGAAGGTGAAAAATCGAAAAAACTGATTTTTTACACTTTGCGCAAAAATCAAAGGCGAAATTTAATGTCTGTAAAAAACAGCATACAATCAATTTAGAGAGTTGAAATCTAACGCAAAAGATTATTAGAATTATAAAGATGGTGCAGCAACATTCCCCCTCATTTCAATGTTGCATAGACATCTTTAATCTTGGATAGAGGTTAATTATCCGTTTTGATTACTTTATATACTCCACAATTTCAAATGTTTTTTTTTATTCTAATTTTATCGGTCAGAACAAGGTTTGTAGTTCTTGGGCTTAGCATCTAGAGCCACAAAGCTTTTACCACTTCTCTACTCATCTCCATATACAGAATACTTTCAAGAGTTTTTCCAATTTCCTAATGTCTACAGACTTTACAATGTACAAGAAAGGCAATTTTATATGTTCTAACCAATTTTGACTTAAAAGTGTTTGAATTGCATTCTTTAGCAAGGAATGAAAACTCTTGAAATTCATTAACTGAACTGTGACTCGAATATCTTTTTATTGGAAAATCTTTTGTGTGAATGATTCCAACCTAATCTTTATTTGCTTCAAATAAAAATTATCGTATATTATTATTATGATGGTTCATGGGAGAGGTTCCTTTCTTGCAAGATTGAGAACGCAAAAACGTCCCTTTTCAACCCCCCCTTCAAATTGCTACCCCACCTCATTTGGGATGTGTCTCAGTTGCATCTAATTGTTGTTACTAATATTGATTTTCGGGTGGGCTGACTTTAAACTTAAACTGCTTCAATTGAATGGCAAAAATTCCCAGTAATGAAACACCCGGTCGAAGACGGGTTGTACGTCAATAAACATGAGAATAATATTCTGAATAATGTAAGTAATCATAATACCTCATCTCAGAGATATAGACAGATAGAGCAGCTTTTGCTAATTCATTTTTATCTCCCTTTCTGAATATATATTTCCTTTTTTTTTGAATTGCCATTCATGGTGAGTGTAATTACTGTTTTTCCTCCAGATTATTTTTCGCTCATTTCTTTTTTCTGTTTTTGCCGCTTATATTTTATAAATAAATTGTCTAGAGAAGGAAAGCTTAATTCCAAATCTCCGAAAAGGCAACAGTAAACAAATACTATCTTTCCCAAAAAATGCGCTTCAATTCGCAGATAATAAAGAAAAAGAATCTGGGGAGAATCATGATTGCCTCCACCTTGAAGAGACATGGCATTAAAAAATTCCTACTACGGGACTAAATTTTTCACTTGCTTTTCTGTATTAGTTACTTCCTCACTCTCATTCTCTCACTCTCTTTCTTCCTCTTTCTCTCTCTCTCTCTTTGCCTTTCCCATGCATTATTTGTTTTTCTCTTTTTCATTGTCTCTCTCTCTCTCTCTCTCTCTCATTATCTCCCTACTTTTAACGTCTACTTCTTCGATGTATCAAATAAAAGTAATCACATCTCGATCCTGCTCTCCTTTTTGTATGCATTAAATATCTGTGCCATGCGTGATACACGCTTAGGCGATCATGCATCTTTCGATATATGACTGACGAGGCAGATTTTTTTTTCCAGCAGTAGGTGGCCATTTCTTTCTGCGGTAGACCAGTTGCCATTCAAGGCTATAGGATCCGGTCTGTCCTGCTATTTATCCATAGCTGGTGGGAGAAGAAGAGGATGCTTACCTTTCCCCAGGGTATTAGCACGTAAGTGAATGTAATGGATTCGACTGGAATTCGAACTCGACTCTCCGATTCCGCAATCCGATCAGACATCCATTACTCCACCGGGCATTATCAACTAAAAATATTTTGTATCTTCCTTTGAATTTCTCCGTTTGATTCACTGCCCCTCTCGTTGTCTCACTCTATATTTATTTTTTTCGTTTTATCATCAAGGAAAAGAAATCATCTCTCTCTCTCTCTCTCTCTCTCTCTCTCTCTCTCTCTCTCTCTCTCTCATTCTGCTTTTTCCCATGCATCATCAACCAAAAATTCTTTGTAGGTCTTTTTGTCTTTCTGTTTTTGACTCTCTCTCTCATTGAATGTATCTTTCTATATAATTTCGATAAAAGAATTTGAGTCT